GAAATTATTCGTCACATGAAAGCTTTAGAACCTTGTCACCAAGTTTTGGCAAAGGCGGATTTGAAACTTGAAGAAATTAAGCAAAGGCAAAGTAATATTAATAGCGCAAGTTATTCCTTAGGCGCAGCCGGTTTAAGCACAAATAGAAGTCCTGCGCATTGTAAGCTGCCAAAATTAGCATTACCAGAGTTTACGGGGGAACCCTTAGATTGGCAGGGGTTCTGGGATCAGTATCAAGTGTCGATCCACAGTAATATAAACATAAGTGATATTGATAAATTCAATTATTTAAAAGGTTGTGTGAAAGGGGAAGCCCTTGCGGCTATTTCAGGGTTGACTTTAACTTCAGATAATTATCAGGAGGCAGTTCAGGTTTTAAAGGATAGATTTGGGAATGAGCAGGTGCTCATTTCTGCACATATGGAGTCTCTACTTAAAATTAATAAAATTAAGTCAGTTGATAACATTAAGGGGTTAAGGATGTTGTACAGTCATGTTGAAAACTGTATGAGGAACTTGAAATCTCTTAAGCTTGACACCAGTGGGTATGGCTCTCTTCTCATTCCAATTTTAAAGGACCGCTTGCTCGATGAGATTAATATGATTATTTCGAGACAGTTTTGTGGTAAAGTATGGAACTTAGATAAGGTTATGGAATTTTTTAACAATGAGCTTCGTGCTCAAGAAGATTGTAATTTCTCATTGAGTAATAAATCAGATGGTAGATCTGACAATTTCAGGAAAAGGGAGCCCTATACAGCAAGTGGGTTATTCAGTCAAACTAGTAAAACCCCCTGTATATATTGTAATGAGGGGGGACATCTTCCATCTAGGTGTAGTAAGGTCTCGAATCACCATTCTCGGAAAGACATATTACGGAAAAAAGGGAGATGTTTTATTTGTTTAGATTCGAGACATATAGCAAAAAATTGTACGGCAACTTATGTTTGTAAACGGTGCAACAAGGGTAAACACCACATTTCCATTTGTGAGGCAGCTTCGGGCAGACGAAATGTAAGTAAGGAGAATGGGAGCAAAGAGGATGAGGAGAGTAGGGAATTTGTAGGTCATACTGGCTGTGACCAGCAGGGAATATTATTACAAACAGCTAGAGTACAGGTCTATGATGAGGGGAATATTGGTACTCAAGTAGCTACCAGGATTTTGTTTGATAGTGGAAGCCAGCGGTCTTACATTTCTGATAAGGTTAGAGCTAGGTTGCAGTTAAAGTCGATCAGGTCAGAAAAGGTCATAATTAAGACCTTTGGTCAGGACAATGATAGCAAGGTTAAGAGACTAGATGTCGTTCAGGTCAAAGTTAAGAATAAATCTGATTCTAGGTGCACCAGTGTTGAGGTTTTATGTGTTCCCACAATTTGCAGCCCTCTTACTAATCAATATATCTCAAAAACGCATGATTTGGAAGAATTTGAGGACTTGGAATTGCCTGACCATGAAGGCGATTCTCCAAACCTCCCAGTAGGAATTTTAATCGGGGTACCGGGTGGCCCAAAAAAAAGTACTCCTGTTTGATTCGTAATAACATCTAAACAAGTATAGCTTTTAAAGAGAAATAACTTGCATCAAATAGAGGAAGGACTAACTTAGACTTTAATATATTACAGTTGTATTTCACTTAAAAATTCACGGAGATATTAATCTTTAAATTCGGGAGGATATTTCTGGATGTGTCTGAAATATGCAAAAATCGGCGTATCAAATATTAATCAAGATTTGCCCGACTGAAACATGCACTATTACCAGTAAATAAATGACACTTGACAAATTGTTTATTATGAAACAGAGTATTATTATATCTACAAAATACAAGCAAGATTCATTCGTCCGAAATTCGCGTGTGTTCCTTATTTAAGAATACGAAAAATTTAAGCGCCTGCCTTCCATGGTCAGTCTTTCATGTACATTTAAGTTTGCAAAGACCTAATATTAAATACTTGCATAATTTCGAACGTTCATATTTCAGGAAACAATGAGCTAAGACTTACATGTAAGATGTCTAAATCTACGCCATATCCCTTACAAACCTTAACGATAATTCGCTGAAATACAAGTTAGCCTAATATGTCATTAAGCAAACAAACGCTGGAGTTAATATTTGATATGCCGATTTTCGCTAATTTTAGACACATTCCAAAATATGCTCCCCATTTTTAACATTAATATCTCCGTGAATTTTTAAGTTAAATACAGCTGTAATATATCAAAATCTAAGTTAGTCCTTCCACTATTTAATGCAAGTTATTTCTCTTTAAAAACTTTACTTGTTTAGAAGTTATTACGAATCAAACAGGAGTACTTTTTTTTGGGCCACCCGGTAGATTATTACCACACGTTCATGACAGGAAAGGTTGTGCGAAGTAAGGCGGGTCCAGTAGCATGCGGAACTAAGGTGGGATGGGTAGTAAGTGGCAAAATTGGGACAGGTCCTCCTGACCTGCATTGTTTCGAGACCCATATCCTACGTGCCTCAGTTGAATGTAAACAAACATCAGACGCTTTACGACAAGTTTTAGATAAATTTTGGTCCGTGGAGACTATAGGCTCCTCCAGTGACTGTGTGGTCAGTCAGTTTGAAAATGACATAGGGCACGACGGGACCCGATATGTAACGAAATTACCCTTTAAGCCAGACCATGAGCAGCTGCCAGACAACTTTAGTGTATGTGAAGGGCGTTTAACATCTCTAAAACGGCGTTTAACATCCAAAGGAATTCTCAGGGAGTATGATACGATCTTTACAGAGTACGAGAAAAGCGGAATAATTGAACGCGTTCCTTCACATGAGATTGCTGGGGAAGTAGGTGGGGTCCATTATCTCCCGCATCGACCGGTCGTGCGTGAGGACAAGCAGACTACGAAAATTCGGGCAGTTTTCGACGCTTCGTGTCAGGTTAACGGCCCCTCACTTAACCAATGTTTGTATTCAGGACCAAATCTTATTGCCAAGATATTTGACATCCTAGTGAGATTTAGGCTTAATAAGATAGGCATCCTAGCAGATATAAAGCAGGCGTTCCTTAACATCGCTATATCTAGGGAGCATAGAGATTTTGTACGGTTTTTGTGGTATGACCTCAATTCTAAAGAGGAAAAAATAATCACTTACAGATTTTTACGGGTAGTTTTTGGACTAACGAGTAGTCCTTTCTTGTTAAACGCGACGTTGAGGCACCACCTTAGCAAGTATGTAGAGGAGAATGCAGTCATAGAGCGTATTCGCGAGGATTTGTACGTAGATGATTTGGTTAGTGGAGGCGATAGCGTTGGTACAGCTAAGGAAATATATGAGACTAGTAAAGCCATTATGCTAGAGGGAGGGTTTGAATTACGTAAGTGGGTAACTAACGATCCAGAACTTCGAGCATATATTTCATCGACAATGGGTGACAAACCTAATTCCCAACCCCTAGGGGAAGATCTTACTTATGTCGAGGTAATGTCGCCTAATTTAGGTACGCCAAATCAGGCTGTCTTAGGTGTTGCGTGGAATACCATCACAGATGAGTTTGTTTTTCAGTTCGATAATTTCTTGAGCAAATGTGCGAGCCTGAAGCAAACCAAGCGGAATTTACTGAGTGCATCGGCCTCAATTTTCGATCCATTGGGTGTGATTGCTCCCGTCACCGCCAGAATCAAAACAATATTTCAGTTGTTATGTAAAGACAAATTAAATTGGGATGACCTTATCCCACCGGCACTTGCGTCAATTTGGAACAAGTTTTTAGATGAATTAAAATCTCTGCGGGAAGTAAGACAACCTCGGTTTGTTTTTCATTTAAATTTTCATTCCGGAATCCGAGTTGAACTTCACGGGTTTTGTGATAGTTCAAAAGAAGTCTATAGCTGCGGTCATTTATCTGCGGTTTGTTTGCAGTAAAAGTGCAAAAGTGTCTTTTTTGGCGGCGAAAACCAAGGTGGCGCCTTTAAAAACCCTTACTATTCCCAGGTTGGAACTATTGGGGTGTTTGTTATTGAGCAAGTTGATCAATGAGGTTGTACTTGGTATACGAGGGCGTGTAGAGTTGGATGAAATATTCTGTTGGTCGGATTCAGAGGTGGCGTTGAGTTGGATAAGGGGAAAGGAGCGAAGCTGGGAACCTTGGGTGGAGAATAGAGTTGTCACCATTAGAAAGGTTGTCGATCGTGAGCGGTGGAATTTTGTCAAAGGAGAACTGAATCCTGCAGATATCCCCACTAGGATATCAACTAGTCTAGTTGAGTGTTTCTCAGGATGTTGGTTTACTGGTCCTTCAGTGTTGTTGTCTCAACCTTCTGCATACAGAGGCGAGAGAAGTGATACCCTTTGTGATCAAACGTCTTTGGGCGGGAAGGTTGTGGAAGAGGTTAGTCATTCTTCTGATGATCTTTTCAACAACGCGACACGGAATGACATATCAGGCGAAACGTGTTCATTGTCTGATGTCATAGACTGCACTCGGTATAGCTCGTTGAACAAGTTGGTTGTCACCACTGGTTACGTGATAAGATTCTTGAACAATTTGCGAAAACGAACGAAGAACCATGGAAACTTAATCACGGAGAACGTTCTAACGGCTGACGAATACGAGCAAGCGTTACACATGTGGATTAAAGAAGAACAATCTCTGATAAAGGGACAATCAAATTTTGCTAACGTTTGTGCTTCATTGAATTTGTTCGAAGACAAAGACGGATTTTTACGGTTAAAGGGACGGTTCGCTAATTCTAATCTGCGGTACCAAGACCAGCATCCAATGATATTACGAGGAAACGAAAGCTATTTCACACAATTAGTCATTTGGGACGCGCATAAGGCGAGTATGCACCACGGAGTGGAGTCGACATTGGCAAGAGTACGGTCAAACTACTGGATTGTGAAAGGGAGAAAAAGTGTCAAGGAAGTCCTCAGAAAATGTGTGATTTGCAAACGGTACCAAGGAAAGCCGATGTGTGCTCCTGCTAGCCCTGATCTGCCACAGTGTAGAATCGATCATTCGGGATTCGCGTTTCAAGCGACGGGCTTGGATTTTGCTGGACCGTTGTTTGTGAAAGATGGTTCAGAAACGGTCAAGACGTACATTCTACTGCTAACGTGTGCCACAAGCAGAGCGATCCACCTCGAACTGGTCTACTCGATGTCAAGTGACGGATTTTTGCGAGGATTTCGGAGATTTGTAGCTCGTAGGGGTGTGCCGGATGTCATTATCAACGACAACTTTAAGACTTTCAAGTCAGCTGAGGTCAAACGATTCATGTCATATCAAGGTATTCGGCAACAGTTTATTCTACCAGCGTCCCCATGGTGGGGTGGCTTTTACGAGCGACTCGTCCGGACAGTTAAGGGTTGTTTAAAGAAGACTCTCGGGAGAGCATATACGACATTCGAAGAGCTGCAGACAATCTTGTGCGAAGTAGAAGTGGCAATCAACAATCGGCCACTTACGTATGTCAGCGAGGATGATTTGGACGAACCTTTGACGCCATTCCACCTGATGTACGGTCGAGGCTACTGCAATCGGATGAAAAACACGGATACCATACTTACGGCGAGCCTTGGACAGTACAAACAGCGGTTGAAACACTTACGGAAAATATTGAGAGATTGTTGGACGCGGTTTCGAAGGGAATATTTGAACGAGCTGAGACAAATGAACCTCTACCGGAAAAGGAAAACCAATACGCGAGGTCTGACCGTTGGTGATGTTGTTTTGATTAAAGAGGATGAACCAGCACCTCGGCCACAGTGGAGGATTGGAAGAGTCTTGCAGCTGGTGAAAGGACGTGATGGACTGGTCAGGGGAGCTAAATTGAAGGTTCTATCAAAGGGTGGAGCTCAGTCGTCGGTTCACAGACCGTTACAAAAGCTAATACCTTTCGAGATCGTCCAGGATGACGTCGACAAGCATGAAGGGGATGACAACGATAGGAACGCAGAACAGCATAACACGACTGAGACCGAGTCAAGAGCGGATGAGCGAAAAGGAAGTAGAAGACCAACGAGGAAGGCAGCGATCGATGGAGAAAACTTGCGGAGAATTCGCGAACAGTATACATAGCGAAACATTTAAACTGTTAGCGAATCTTTCCGGTTGGGGAGGATGTAGAAAACATTAATCTAGTGCATGACGTTTTACATTACACATTTATTTACTTTTAATAACATTATTGGTTCTGTTATAATCACGTGAGCTGTCACGTGAGTTGTCACGTGGTGAGACGATTAAAAAGACACGTGTAGGGCAATCGGAAGTTAGTTGGGATAAAACGGACAACATGTAAATTTATGTTGCGTTATTTATATTAAAATAACTATATAAAAAGCAAGTGTGAGAGTGCTTTTCACACGCAGCATTGCCGGAATTATTAACAGAAATAGCTAAGAATTCGGCATTTTTCCTTGTTTTTTTTTCAAATATTTTTCTTGAAACTTGATTTGGGAGAAACTTTTCAAGGCAAAGTTGAAGAATAGCATTTATTTAACAAGTCTAAATGGATAGCAGTGCTGGACAAAGGTGTGGGAAAGTCTCTTTAACGAACGCATTTGCATTTTATACGCGTTCATGATGCGCCATATTGTTGCTTCACTTTCCACTGTGTTGTCTTTCTAGCTAGGTAGATTATTGCCGTAAAGTCAAACGTGTGATCGAAATAAAGCACATTCAGGAGAATGAAACAAACAGAGACCACTACCCGATAGTTTTGGGGGAAAAGTTCTGTTCTTTAAGGCCCTGTTTACATGGAGCTAGGGTGACCCTAGCAAAAGGGTTACCCCAGCAAGCGGGTTACCCTACTTCAATATGTTTTATAGGAAGCGTTTACATGCGCGCTAGGGTTACCCTAGGGGTAGGGTTACCCTATCAAACAGATAGGGTAACCCTAGCAGTAGGGCTATCTTCTTGTTTACATAAGCCATGTAAACGCGTCAGGTAGGGTTACCCTATCAAGCGGTTCAAGTTATTATATTCATTCTACCGTGACTGTCAGACAGGCGAGGATGGCGTCGCACGATCATACTTATCAGCCAGGTGAGTATTTTAAAAGACATCAGAAGAATAAAACTGATAGGCAATCCAAGGAAGTAGTACCAGAGGTACATGTAAATAATGAAGAGTTCCCTTTGCTCGATAACGCTGCGAATGCGCCGACTGTTATGATGCTGTTTCGACAACAAAGCGAAAAGCAGAAAAACGGAAGCAAAATACAGACGCATCCTCATCGTCGATCGCAAAAAAAAACGAAAAAATGGTCTTGGTCGGCCGAACTTGTTGAAAATCTTTTGCGCTATCTAAAAGAGTATAAGACGCAATACGAGATTACGAGTCCAACGGAATTGACTTCGAAGCCGACTTATAGAGCCTTTACACGGAGCTTCGTTCGTGCATGGCAGCAGAAGACCCATCAGTGAGTTTGGTCCACAAGCCTTGAGCGAACAGATAAACCCACGCGAGATAGGCAAGATTTCGTTAAAGAGGTTTAACCACCACTGCTTAGTTCTACCAGGGATACGCCAAAATCTTCGACGTCGACGTCTAACAACTCATGTCTCAGAAAATATAAAGCAGTATTGCGCTCATTTACTGCTTGAACTGCTAGTTGCTGCTGCAGTCTTCTCTGGCACAATAACACAGAAAGTAACAGACCACAACATTGAAATGTAGTAAGCAAATGAGCAAGAGATAGCATCATACAACTTGCCACCAAAACTTTGTGTTTCGGCGCCATTTTTCGAAAATAGACGGCTTACGGGCTTAGCGACCACGCATGAGTAGGGTCACCCTACCGGGTAACATAGCCCTAGCAGTAGGGTCACCCTACCTCATGTAAATGCTCGCTTTTTTCTGACCCGCTTGCTAGGGTAACCCTTCTGCTAGGGTCACCCTAGCTCCATGTAAACAGGGCCTAACTCATAGAAGGCCAAGGAGATCTGTCGTGCAAGTCACGCGAGGTTCATATTTGTTTACTTCACCTCATGCTGCGCGTCTTGAGTTAGCTGGTTTCTTTACTTCGATAAAAGCTTATTGTGTGCCTTGCGCAAGTTTTATTTATATTAATATAACTACAGAAGACTGAGTTATAGTTTACAAAAGAAATCAGTTGCACATGCCTTTATTTAAGCGGCGATGAGGGAGCCGTTTTCTCGCTATTAAAGACAACATGCCTTGGTAATCTGATATATAGTGGCAGATATACTATGATCTACGGGAAAACCATCACGAAAAACGTTTGGAATTGTAACTAAATGATAAAATAAAGTGTGCGCAAAGACATGAAATCTGTTTCAGGGAAAGCTGCGTATATTAAGGAATTTAAATCACTAGTATACTGTATGTTACTATTATTTTATGCGGTTACGGATCTTGCGCAGTATAAATTATAAACTGTAGTAGGCTGTTGTGTAACTTGCCAGGTATGATTGCACTGTAGCTAAATCTGCTATATATATTGTCATCTATACAATGGAACTATGTGTTTATATATGAATATCTCAAAAATACATCATATACACAAATATAAAATATACACGAATTTTCAAAACTTTATTGTGATCATATGAAGCAAAGTTCTGTCACTTGTTGTTTACACTTGACAATGTTAACTGTTGAGTAACATACACACTATTCGAGGAACATGCATTCAGCGCCGTAGCGAGGGGGGGGGGGGGAACCCCCCCAACTTTTGTAGAATTAACATATTCGAAAAATCGGGTTGGGCATTCGGAAAATTACGGCAATAATAGTATAACAAAATTTTAGTTGTTTAAACAGAGAAAATATTATAAAATGGTATTGTCAGTATAAACCCTTGGTATAAACTGATTTACCAAATCACGGCATTTACATGGATAACGTAAAACAAATCGTAAATCGGTAAATGTTTTTCAGTTTATTACTTTTCAGGGCCGTAGCAGTCTGGGGGAGGGGGGGGACTGGGGGCAGCAGCCCTTACAATAATTTGCTGATAATCATTCTTTTTTCAAAATCATGCAGACCTTAGTCATTTAAATAATATACCTTTAAAATACTGACAATAGACTAGAGGTGTGCATCGGATCGGATTGGACGTTTATAATCCGACAATTGCCTAATGTTTAAAATCCAATCCGAAATTGTCTAATCCGAATCCGATCAGAGTTTTGAAAAAGAATTCCAATCCAATCCGAAGAATTCTTTAATAAAATAAATTTCTCATTCAAGTTGAAATATTTAACCAAATAAATATAAAAACCAGAAATACATGTCAAGAAGCTGACAAAGTGACGTCCAATTGAAGTATCAAACGAATAATTCAGCGAAAACCGCGATGATACTTTGATAAATGTATGGATAATTAATTCTTGCGATAATGCATGGATAATTAATTCATTTTATTTCGGATATCGAAGTCTGATCCGACTACGAAACAACTTTATCAATCCGATCCGAAATTTACATTTTGGTTCCGAAATGCGAACGAATCCGATCGGATTCGTATCAGATTTGCATAGATCAAAATTTCACTCATAAGGGGAAAGGTCTATTGATTAATTTTATTAAGCGGCTACATTATCCATGATAAACCGCAAAGAATCATATTACCTATAGTCTTTCCTGCAATATATAGTTAACTAAATACGCCTTCGCCCATTTAGTTCCACTAAATTGTAAGCAAATTGTAAATTTTGACATACTAAAACTCTATTAACAACTCGAACCGACTTGACCACGTAGCTCAGTTGGCAGAACATTGGACTGCTTTCCCAAAGGTTGCGCGTTCGACTCCCACCGTGGCCAAGCAAACTTTTCAGCTTGCCCGCTGTGGATGCATACTCAGAGTAACGTCTCAAATATCATACTAAAACTCCGTTTTCTGACCATCAGAATTCTGTCAAAACTTCCCCAAAGTCCAGGAAATGGCATTTCAGAGAATCTAAATTTAAAAATTTCCTCGGGCCTTCGGCCCTCGTTCCCACTCCCCAATAAAAAGAGCTTCCTACGGCACTACATGTTTCTGTAATATGTCTTTGCGTAAACTATATGTATTTTTGTTTGTAAATTGCATCTTCATTTTCCGGATAGCAAACACCTTCGTGGCTTCGTATGCCATGAAATATTCGGAAAGTTTCTTCGTCATTCGGAAATTTTTGGCCTCTGAAAAGAGTCAATCATATATTGAAGACCATGCACTGAATAGTAGAGAATGTTTTGAAGCCATGAGTGAAGTATATAATTCAATTCCAACCCTGTGCACAGTTAATGATATACCACACTGTTCGGTTTAACTCATCATATCCACACAAAAACAATTTGTATTGTGGAAGAATATCTGTTTGAGTAGAAGGTATCACAAGTTTAGTTTTATACATTGTGTGCCATTGGTCTGATCCATCCATATAATATATGATTATTGTAGCTGTTAAGTTATTTTCCATACTGATGAATTTAGGTAAGATTGTCTTGCAAGTGGGTTGCTCTGACAAAATTATCCAGCCAATATCCAGTAGATCAGTAGTATTTATCATTCTTGTATTAATCTCTAATCTTTTGATCTACAGATCGAAATACAGGACCAGGATTTAATTCAATATCTCCTGAAAACATTAGTTTCTTGTGATATTGTTAATTAGCAATATACTGCCTGCAGCCAGAGTTTTGACTGTTTAAAATATTACACAATGATTGTTTTTATACTGTATAAATGTATATAATAAAATGTGGTATTTGGCTACTTACCAGATGAGGATAAGTTTCCATGTTGATAGATAACTTTGGAATAATATCACAAGTAGAATGGTGAAAACAAGACAGCCAATTCAAGATAAAATCAAGATATTTTTGAAGCCAAATATGGCAAAGAATAACGCGAGTACACGACTTACACGAGGCCAAACTACGCCAGTTCGCAGGTTAGGTGCGAGCACGATGTAAACAATTGATGTAAGCTAATCGCTGATTGGCTTAATTATACAAGCTCGTCGCTGAATGGCTATGGGTATAAACGTTAATACTAATGTGCTTCGCAGATACAAAAATAAAGATATACACCGGCACTGTATTGATGTATGTTCATACCTGGAAGTTTTTTTTTCATTATAAAAGTGTATTTTCCCAATTTAGATTGGGTGGGTGGGTCATGAAATAAATTTGGTAAGATTGGATGGGCTTTGAAATTTTTATCAACATCCTAAGATGGGTCACCAAACTTATTGGCAAAATTTGTGATTTACCTCCAGCCCACCCTAGCAGTTACTTTATGACCAGTCCCTTAGAAGTTCTCTTGAAGGTGACACGATGCGAATTTTCTATTGTCTCACTTTAAATATAGTCAAAGCTGAGCCTATGGAGTCAAAGCTACGTGTTTCACATTGCATATAAAGGAAATTGAATTATCCCAGAAAGTAAGAACTTAAAAATGCAAGCCATTGCATGATGAGTCATGTTTATTATGCATAATTGAGAACATTTTGTTATTAACATAATAATATACATGAAAATATTACTCAACTGTGATTGGTTGATTTCAGTGCAGTTAACCCCAAACAGCAGTGCAATTTTCTGTTTTGAGGTCTTTCAAAAACTCACTCGTGCATGTCATATCCAAATTGCACTCGAAACCATACTGTTACCTGTACTAACACGTTTCTATTGTCATGAATTTGTTGCTTGCACTATATGATACATTTAACATCGGTTTGTCTTCAAATGCCGATGCTGAAAGACCTGGTCACCAAAATCAGAGTCACAGCAGCTCAGAGGAGTCAATGTAATCAAACTACTGTGTTATAATTAATTGGTTATTGCAATGAATACATAATTATTTAATTGAGACGCTGGGCTTTAACTAATGTCGCAAACACGAAAACAAGGCTCTATAGCCAAACTGACACTTTCCAGAAGGGTGTATTGCGGAACGTCGGATTAGGTTAGCATTCCGCACGCACGGATTAGTCCTACATGTCATCCATAGTGCTTCACAAACTTTTACAAAAGTCGGAATTTACCACTAGACACCAATATCATGATCTAAATTTGTCAGTCTACAGCGAAATGATACAGTGTATATGTATGAAATTTTCATCGGTTGTTGACAACAGAATATGAATTCAGAAAAACTACAATATCTATCAGCATCTAGAAAGCTGTGTGCACCTATCCTTAGCTTGGAAATGAAATTCTACGCATGACCATTAGCAAATTATTTCAAATGTTTAATTCGGCAAATTGTTTTAATAACAATATTGTTTTATTTTAAGAACATACAAAGAACATGAAATTGAAAGATCAGAAATCTAAATTGTATAATATTATAGTCAAAAAGTTTGAAATATATAATCATAGGTAAAAGGCTGTTTACATGATTTCGCTTTGCCCGGATGAGATCTAGGATAATTATGACGTATTGAAATAAGTCACGCTTCGTGATTCTGCAAAACTATGATTATTTGTTTAATAAGCCAAGTGATCTTTATTTCAATGTATCAAAATTATCCCGCCTTCCATCTCGTCGTTGCTAAGCGGGATCACATGAACAGCACCTAAATTTCTAACCAACTCAGGGTGTTGCAAACTGATTCTAAACCATTTTGTTAGTCTTTGCCTGCCTGTGTGTTTTCACAGAATCGCTCGCTATTATCCGGATTAATAGTTGTCTTCAATTTGAATATAGATTCTCCGCCATATGTCTATATTTATACTTTTGCAATGTGGAAAAGTTATGTTTTGATCTGCATATAGCCTGCACAGCAGTAATAAACGCCTGCTATGCAGGCTAATATTCGCATTCTCCATATAATAACTGTAAACACGCACGCTTCTTGCGAATCAACTTGATATAGTTCACGTAGTTAGCGTGTTGAAATAATATTTCCAATCCATCTATGTAGTTGGTTAGATATGAAATACAATAAAAACTAGATATTTTATGCTACAGTGAGAAAGATGAAATTATATTACAAGCATGATGTTATAAAAAATACGTACCCGATTTAGTTTCCTTTTTGTAGAATTCTTGAGTTCAAAAATTCCAATTTTGCAATTTTGTTCTCCGTTTAGCTACTGGATGCATGTAAGCGTCCAGAGGCTAAATTGAAATTGATTTCAAGTGAGCTTCAACTACAATTCTCACGCTTTGGTTAGTAAGACGCTAAGTTACAATAGTGTACTAAAATGACGCATTTTTCCGTCTGCTCATCAAGTTGTGTCCACGCAATGAAACGTGATTCCGATCACTGTCACCTTGAATCTTCCACCGAGATCTTGACAAAGACGTCAATATCTTCTTTTAGCAAATGCGGAACGACAATTAGTATCGAAGTATTAATTAACAGGCACTCCACAGGGTGTATAAAAAAAACTGAACAGATTTGAAATTGCTCTCAATTTCGCAAAACAGCTATTAATATCCAGTGTTTGATATGTATAGCTTATGTGGGTACTTATAATATAGAATAATGAAAAAAATGTCGAACTCAAAGTTTGTAAACCAGGGGGGTGTCTTTTCCAAAAAAATTTAAATGGTTTGCGCACGAGATTTAAAAACTTTAATCATATTTTGAGTTAATGGATGAAAAATATATTGGGTGTTTAATTGCTGCACGAAATTTGAGACAATTCGCTCAGTTTAAGCCCTTTAACTATTTGCGCAAACTTACATTTTTTTTACAAAATCAGCTTTTGCATGCTTAATTGTGCCTTTGCCTAATTTGCATATGTCAGCAATGACCGGCCAACCAGGAAAATTGACAAGGAAATGCTTTGATTTGAAGATGCAGTACGTCATAGTATTAAAGTTTGATTCGTCTTCAGGCCTATGTAGTAGATATACATGAAGTATTTGGACGTGGCGACAACATGCAGGCTCGTAATGAAACTTGTCAAGGAAAAATTGCTCGTTTGTGTGGGGCTTTAGTCGCTGCAAGGGGCTATTGCACTCAAAAAGTGATCTCAAAAAATTGATCGTGAAGAAGATTAAGGTTGCTGCCTTTTTTCCGGTTTATGTCTTCATGTGAAGTTATTCTATTAGTGCAATTCAAAGAGAATCAGTACGAGGTCCACATTAGCAAAATTTCTTTACGGGAAAATGGCTACAAAAATTATGTTTGTCTAACTTGAAAAAAATGTTTGAAAGATTATTTACAAATCCTTTTTACAAATTCTTCCAAACTATCTTAATTTTTAAGATATCTGGAACCATTCGTGTTTTATAATTAGACCTAATTACTATGACGTCACAACTAGGGTATACGATTTAAAACTAAAACATGATATCAGCAGAAAGTTTATGCATAACTTGTGCTTTAAGGTAATTCCGCAGTTTTGCATTGCGCACTTTTACTGCGCACATCTTCATGGGCTTACCGGAAGGAAAAATTTAGGGAGGCGGAAAGAAAATTGCCCGACTTTTCGGGATTGTGCCCGACTTTTCGGGATTGTGCCCGACTTGTACTGAAAAATGGGGGAGCTACCGCCCCCCCCGCCCGGTACGCCTATGCACATCTTATAACTTATAATTTCGTCCATTATACATACCGTTTAAAAAATCATTTTATGACAATTTTATGTTACTTCAAAACATCTTTGGTTACATTCGTGCAAAGAATTACGTTAAAATCAATGTTTTCAAAAAAGGCATACAAAAGTGTAGCTAGGGTTCCCGTGTCTGTAGTATATTTATTTACTTGTATTTCACGTTTTAATGCCACAATTCCCTAAAAAGATCGGTGACCCCCGTTTTTTAACTGATAATTTATTTCTTTAATGCATTTTACATTTCATATCCGAAATTAAAAGAAAAATCATTTCTGGATCTTGAAAAAAAATGCTTTATCAATGGCATGTTCTCAAAGAAAGATATGTAAAGAAATGTGCAAAAGACATTTGTGGATTAGAATTGTACACTTTAGTAGTTTCATTTTGCTTAAAGGTGATCTACAGTCCGTATATAAACAAAGCCTTTGTTTACATTTTTGTGTCCAAAATATTGAGCTTTATTCGACAACTATTTATATTTTCAAGCTTCTAGGGTATAATAAATGATCAAGAAACAACAATCAGGCTTTTCAAGAACTCAAAACATAGTTAAACTGTTTGTATCATAAAAAGTGGGCTCATTTGTGCACATGCGCAGATTGGCTGTAGATCACCTTTAAAACAATATTTTTTCAAAAATAATTACAAGATGGGTTTACGTATACTAAAGCAAAATCCGCGCTAAAAACGTCAATAAATATCGGGCTGTTGTGAGTTTGCTGTTACTCGTAATGAGCGTCAAGATGGCGCCATATTGGGGTAAAGGTGGTATATTGTGATTATCATATGTATTCATATCTTCTTAACGAGTTCGGTGACCCCGACTTTTTTGTGTGATTTTACTTTAAGTATATCATAAACTCCATGCCTGGGAAGTTTCAGCACATTCTCATTTCGGGAACAATTACTGCGGAATTACCTTAATTTAAAACAGACAATTATAGTAAAATAGGATTTAGCTCAAGATATAAAATAATATTTCCCTGGTTATGACATCACGCATATCCAAAGATAGATGTGCATACCAAAGATGGCGGAATGCATACTGATTGTATTTATTTTATAGGTGTAAGTGTAATATTTTGTATACCAAGAACGATAAAAAAATCCGCCAAAAGGGTTTAAAATGTCTCAAATTTCTCTTCCAAATGGAAGAATCTTATGTTTTATTCCTATTTCCCTGTAAGAAAATTAAACTTTTAGCGAGTACTCTTCCCATGCGTGAAAAGACTAGGACTGGCCTTCAAATTTCCGATTGGAGGTAGTGTTCCAGTTATGCTCATTTCAACAGCTATACAGCATATTTCCCAAAATTCCTGTCAACGGGAGGAGAGGGGATTGACCGATTTATTATACTATATCATCTGCAGCCTAGGCTGCTCGCAACCCGGCTACTGCAGCTAGCCTGCTCGCAGTCCCCACCCGAAAACTGCAGCCGGACTTTTACAGTTCACGGTATTCACAGATCATTGCCTTGCCTTTAGCTTCTTTATATAGTAACTCGTTCAGCCACTGACGGCTTTAATATATATCTTGGTGACCAAACTATTCAAAGATTTGCATAGCATTATTGCCGTAGTACCCGAGCAGTTATAAACAGTAGCGGTTTCTCAGTGTTAACTTTTGCAGTGTATGCATGCATGCGAGTAATTTTAAACGTGTATGGTTGCCGTCAAATCACAGAATTGAAAATGTTGCTATTATATAAATATTGTTCGGTTCTATATATCAGGAAATTCAGGTACAGTAATCGTATCTTCATTCGCGTAGAAGTACATTCATGGGACGTTTTTAAAAATTTGTTTCTACGTAGTTCATTTGAATGGAACCAACTGCCAAATATAGCCGTTAGCAACAGGTGGGAAAATTGTCGTCGCTGACCAAATTTATCGCGGCCGCTTTCTTTTTGCCAGCACAAAATTGTGCAAACAACAAAAACACAGATTTCGCTACCCTGTTTCTCGTACTGCAGCAGAGAGAAAACAAAGGAAAGCTAGCAGACGTAAACGTTACTGAGTAAACGTTAATCAAGAATACAATTACTTATCGCAATCGTGAAATTAGCAGTCAAGATTCTTCGCTGAAACATGGCCGAAAATGACGTTTCTTGCAAAATGTGTGTTTTCTATGGCAAATAACCTCGAGTATGAACTTGATATTGATGGAATATTACTTGAAATTTGTAGTACATGCGTTTGTTGTCCTGAACAAAGTATAAATATTTGGTTTTTGAGGGATACTGTTAGGGATCGCAACCGGAAGTCGGACTGTGCGCCAACGATCATCGTCAAATTTCAGTATGGGAGGTATTTTGCTAAAATTGCTTGTTTTTCACCTTAATTTTCTCACATATACAGGTTGTGCCAATGAAATGTGATCAGGTCAGAAGACATGCTTTTCTTTCTAGTTTTTGTTAATAGAATGTAAAATCGCTTAAAAAATGAAGAAAGTACTGAATTTTGGCAACTTTCATGTGCAAGTGTGATTTATACGAAAAAGGCGACTCAGAAAATGGGCATAAGAATGAACATTTTGCCCCGTAATCTGCTTAATAATAGTGTATAGGCTAATAAACGAAAAATGTACCACAAGCATGGCATGAGTCGGCTATTACGTACATATATACGAGCTTATTACTATACTGTCTAAATCATGGAACCGAGGGAATCGATGGCATTTTGGCTTAATGGTTGCACCCTGAGCCTGCGATGAGCTAACGCAAACTCGATTTCTCGACTACGAAAAAAAAACAGAAAAAGGGGGATTTAAGACACTTGGCCTTACAGGCCAGTGTAATTATATTTATTCCGCTCCTCAGTTTGGCGCTCGGGTAAGCAGACGGTAGTATTTCGTCGCTTGGCGTACGAACTACAACGTCTGTGAGCAGGCTAGGAATTGCTGTCATAGGGGTAGAAAAATACAAATATTTTCTGGGGGAGAACACGAGTTCCATAGCTTATTACGTATATGTAGTTCACTATAGGAGTCGGAGTAAATAACAACCATTTTGAATACTGGTCCCCAGTACTTGTCCCTTCACTTATTTTACACCAAAAAATGTAACGAACAAAATGTTGGAGGGGAGGGGTGGCCCTAAGTTTTCCAGATGAAGGTGGGGGCGTCTTGAATATAAGGGTGGTGCGATTGGGGGCGGCTTGGTATTTATCATCCACCGCCCTCCTCCCATTATTAATGACCGGTCCCTAAGTGAAGGATTCTTCTACATGATTCTAATCTTAGTTGGAACAATAGTATGTAAGCATGTGGTTTATCTAAAGTTGTGAATTGGTAGCAACGATGTAAACAACGTTAGCCAAATTAGTCTATTGAACATAAATCGGTATTAAAATGTGTCAGTGATTTACAAAGTGTCGGAATGGAGTACTTCACTTATCTCGAAATGTCGGATAAGGTAACACGAAGCATGGTGACGTTAGGATGTTATCATGGCTGCTTCCACACGTTTGTAAGATATCATTGGTCATAATTGTGTCTGTACATGCAAGATTATATTGCTGCCGTATATTTTGGTTAAATTTTCCTCCAAAACTCATTGAAACACTTGCCTTAATTCCTTCACCCGTATGCGAAGGTCCATAGTGTTCTGCGAAACGATCGAGGAGCCGTGACCCAAACGAGGCTAGAAATTAAAGTCCCATTC